TAAGAATATAAAATATTTATTGTTATTAGTTGAAATTAAAATAGGAGTTGTGTAATTTAAATTGAATTTAAAATATTAAATTAATAATTAATTTTTTTTAGTATGTGATTAAAAATTGTGAAAATACATGTTTTTCAGAAGAGATGACGTGGACTTACATGGATGTCACCTCCAGGAGACTCCGACCCGGAAATTTCCTCCGGCAACGGCGACCCTTTATCCGACCAAACACTCAAAACGTCGTCGTAATTTAGTTTCAGTAGCAACCGGGACCCAATTTCAGGACTAGAATTCTCCTCTCCTTGATTCAAATTCCCCCGTCCCGATTCCGATTCCGACATCTTCAGCAATTCCTCCACTTTCTTCTTCTTCTGTTCCACCGGAGCTTTCTTTATCTTCGCCGGAGCCACCGCTGTTGCCACCACAGGCGGCGAAATGTTAACCACATTCACCGTCGGGAAACTCCACCAATTCCCATCATCACCATTCTTCAATGCTCTCACTCCATTCCTCATTCCGAAACTGAAATTGAATTCCAAATTCCCACCAAAACCCAGCCCCATTGGATACCCGTAGCAAGTTTTTGAATTTAAACAAGATTTATTAGTTGATTCATCGTTTTGGATTGTTGAATTACAACTCCCCATGATGCTATCTATCCCCCCTTCAATTTCCTCATCAAGCATCGACTCGGTATCAAAATCATCTTGATACCCATCACACAATTCCATGGAATCCGAACCCGAATTACAGTTCCGGTATTCGATTTCCCGTGGACTCTCGCAAGAACTCGCCACTTTTGACTCAAACAATGAACTGGGTTTCTCCATAATTGGCTGATGAAGGAGGAAGCCGGAGTTTTCAATCACCGGAAACGGTAAAAGTAACTCCGGTGGTTCATTTAAGGAATTACCATGTTGTCCGGTGAATTTGGAAAGATTATTGGTCTTCTTCGTAAGGTTTTTGGTTGAGAAAACTTTGGGGCAAGCTATGGAGAGAAGAACAGCTGCTTCATTGTAAGTCTGATTGGGTCTTTTTCGAGGGGTTCGGGGTTTTCGATTCGAGATTGCTATCGGAGAATTGCTCGATTCAGAGAGAGTTGAAGATGGAGAAGATGAATGAGAAGTTCTACTAGAAGTTGTAGATGGACATTTGACAATATTCTCAATATCAAATCCATAAGCCCTTCCTGTACCCCCACTTAAACAAGAAGACATCTTTCAAGAAACTCAATTCACCCCCAAATTCATGAAATCTTGTTCAAGATGAAGTTTTTTTCCATGAACTTTCAAGAAAGATTCAGAAATGGACGAAAATTGGAAAACCCAACTCCCAAATCAAAAGGGTACTGGAAATGAGTGGGAAAGAAGTTGAATCGGATAGAAAGACAAGTGCTTTTGGTTTAGAGGTATCAAGAATAGGATAAGAAAAACCCTAAACCCTGAAAAAGTGTCGACTTTTTGTATGAACAAAAGTTGGATTCTTTATAAAATAAGAACAAGATTTAAAATAAGTGATGGAAGAGGAGAACAAGAAGATCCCAGAAACCCTTTTTTAAAACCCACAGAATGATTCAAAAAAAAATCAATCTTCATATCATATTATCATGGACAGACAGAGAGAGTCTCCTCAATTGAGAAAGTAGAAGTGTAGAACACACACACAGAAGCATATATATAGTATATGTGTTTGTATTTGAAAAGATTGAATGCACAAATACCAAGGTTTCAACTTACCATGAGTTGGTTTTACCCAGAGAAACAAGAAAATATCCAAAAATAACCGAGTAACTGCAGACAGTATTAACAGATGCACACAGATATATATATATATATATATAGAGAGAGAGAGAGAGAGAGAGAGAGAGAGAGAGATTATGGAGTCACGGGAATGGAGAAGAGATAAAAGGAAGGAAGGAATAGATCTGTTGGGTAGTCCTGTAAAAATGGCAGAAGACCCACCTCTCTTTCTCTCTGTAACTTGAATGAAAAATCTCTCTGTAAATACATTCTCTCTCATCTCATCTGTATCTGAATCCCTCTCTCTCTAAAACACGTATTCCTCACAAAACATAATAAGTAAAAAGGGTTTAACTTCGTTAAAAACTCCTTATTACCGGTTTGACACCGGTATAAATTGTTTATCAAAACACTCAAAAATGATTATTACCTTGCCACACCGAAATAAGTCAATAAATTGTTTTTATAAGTACATCTTTTGAGTCTTATAAAATAATCTATTAAAACAGTTAAACCAAGGAAAATGGTATATTTGGAGACAAGTTGGGAGTGAGGAGAATGGAGGGGAGAATGGATACAGAAGAAGAGACAAGTGAGAGAGGCTAAGCATTTCTCTGGAATTAAAGGGACCACTCTCTCTGCCTGGCACTTGGCTTATAATGATAACACTATCTTTTTATTTTTTTATTTTATTATTATTATTATTATTTTCATCTTTCACTCTCACTCTAACTTATTTTACATTGCCAAAAGTACATGTCTCTTCAGTTTTGGGTAAAAAGAAGCCACAATTAGGTGTTTTGAGGTGGTATTAGTTTATGTATTTATCAACCGTGGGTTTTCAAACCAGTTTACGTGTATCGATTAATCTTTTAGATGATTATGAATCGTCTGGATTCATTACAAATGAACCTCCATAGCTGTAACGATTTTAAGATTTTCAACTATCATATCCCATGAAGCTTAACCACTGCACTACAACCCAAGTGGTTTACTGATTTATTTTATATAGCAATTTTTTTTAAAAATGACATGATTAAGCAAATAAGCAATCCATAACAAGTTTATTAATTAAGCTGTAAATAAACAATCCTTTAGATTTGTTATAAGGTTTAATTAATAAATATAATTGTTAAAATAAAAAAAGGGAAAAAATAAGTTAATAAATGTTGGAATAAATAATATTTAAATAACATATAAATTTGAACACATCATAAAAATTATATATATATATATATATATATATTAGTATTAAATTAACAAGTTAAATTTTTTCTTTTGGAGCTTTATAATAAATTGTAGTTATGTACAATTTACTTGTAATCTTAAATTTTAAGTAATATGTATCAATAAACAATATTTCATGCATAATTTTTTTTTAAAAATTCGTCAAATACTTTATAATATGGTATAGATATAACAATTAGTGTATTATATAATTATACAGTTGATTTTATAAGTAATTATATATTAAATCTCATTTTATTCCCTCTAAAAAATTTATTCTATTTCAAAAGAGATATTTTGGATTAAATATATAATCTCAAGAACTAGAGAGACAATCGGTGCATATGCTTTTTCAAACCGTAAACTACGTACAAGTACATTAATAATTTGCAAGATTTCGCTAATCATAGATTACTTTGCTCTTTTCAAAAGTATCAAAGTAAAAGAAGGGCAAATGCTAGCTTACAAAATTTTCAACGTTTAAAGTTCACAACTTTTCAAAAAAATTGCTACAAAGTAAAAGGTTTCACCAAAACAATTTTCTTTACCTTTAAAAGTAGAAAAAGGAACCATAAGGGTGGTGCCTGATTGATTTGAGCTTCGTTCCAAAGGTCAAAAGTAATAAGAGATCCCAGGTTCAAATACAAGGAGGAATAAAAATTCCCTTGTGACCACGGAAGTTCAAATACAGTGACTCCGGACTATCTGTAAAGCAGGTGATCGTCCTGAGATTAGTTACGCACATAATATATTCTCTTTTTAGCCCTACTTTATGAGTTGGTAGAAGTGATGTAAGGAGTAAAAACAAGACATTGAACATAACATTTTTATGATGATTGCTTGATTTATTTTTATGTATATATGTCATACCCATCAAGTAAATGTGTGGTTTATTTATTAGAAAAGAGAATATGAGTTATGCCCATCCATCTAAATTTGTCACATTTTGGTGGAAGCAAAAGTAAAATCAAAGTGAAATTGCCCTAAAAATCCATCAATGAATGTGGTATCTAATCCCAATCATGGGCATATGCAAAGATGATAGAAAAAGGATATCCTTTTTGGATAGATAGTTTTAAGTTTCCAAATATATATATATATATATATACATATAGGGTTGGGTTCAAGTGAGACCAATAGTTTTTCGTGAGATCCGTAAGATTAATTTATGTTCATTGAACAACTTTATAAGCTAATGATCTAATTGTCTAAAGTTGTACGGTGACAATTTTGTGATTATTGAGAAGTCTCATGACAATTTTGTGATTATGAATGTTCAGATTGTAGGTCTAATTCAAGGGTTAAAAATTGATTTTACGGGTCTCACAAAAAAACCTTTGGTCTCACATGATCCCAAGTCTATACAATATACAATATACATATACATATACATACACACACATATATATATATATATTTGGGATTGTGTAGAATATATTTTTTTGGTGAGAACCGTAGGAGCTGACCTAAAACCTTTCAATGAAACCAACCTTGAATCTGACACTCCAAAAAAACATGATGAATTTTTTGTTAATAAACAGGAACTTCGAGGGAGAATATATTGCAAGGGGCATGGAGGTTGACATACTTTTAAAACCCTGAAATACATTTGACCTACATTAAACTGTCAACATTAACATAAGTTAACATGAATTACCTTAATAAATTTAAATACACATGAATTTAGCTTAACATACCCCATAATATTAACACGTTTTATCGTAAAAACCTTAATGAATTTTAAATCTTAACACATGCAATCTTATCCTACGTTAATTAACATTAAAAAACAATGAACTTCAACATAACTTAATATGAAAAATAATGGAAGTTAATTAATATGTCTTAATAAATTTTAACATGAAAAACATTTAATTAATATCAACATACCTTAACATAAGTCAAACATATTATCCAGATATAATATTTCATAAATTGCTATTTTTTATTTAAAAAATATGAGATAAATATATCATTTTACTTTATAGCGTTACATAAATAACATATGTTTTGGTCTAAAAGTAAAAATATTGTCGTACTCTATACGTTGTTAAATAATATGTTAAATAATTACTACATTCTTATCAAAATAAATGTAATCAGTAAAAAAGATAAGGAATTTTAGAAAGATCATGTAGTTACTGTACTTTTTAATCCGTTAAATGACAATTATATTTTGAATAGAGAAAGTAAAGAATTTCTTTATCTCATAAGTAATTGCAGTGTTGAAAAGTTGTTACTTAGTTTTAACAGTGGACACTTATTTTAGAACGGGTTAAAATAGAGATTTAGGGGCCGTTTACCTAAACCCTTACCCGGTAAGCACTTACCGGTAAAATTCAATACTATCGTTTACTAACCGGGTGAGATTTTATTCACTAAAACGTATTTTATGCAACAATTTATTCCGGTAAGGACTAACCATGGTAAAAGTCATCGTCCTCACTTACTGAATAAGACTCTCGATTCTTGTCTTTCCTCTTACTGGGCAGGGTTTTTAGTCCTTGTCATATTCATCCGGTAAAATAAAATGAGTTGGTAAGTACTTACCCGAGTAAGCGTTTGGTAAACGACACCTTAGACACTTATTTTAAAATGAATACAACAATTCGTAGTAATTTTATGTGTTCTTTAAAATAAGTATTTTATTTAATCGTGAATTTAATTAAGTTTAAGCCACACATTTGAATCATATATTTTTATATTTTTTTCATACTATATATATATGTCTATGATGTGTAGCTCAGTTGACAAAGGAGATTACTTTGTTCATATACAAGACATGTCATATGTTCAAACCCCTCTGCTCCGTCTGATGCTATTCTTAACAACTGAGTGAGTCAAAAAAATATCTGTTCATATTGATATCCTTAAAAGCAGATTTTATCGAATGAAACCGATTAAAATTGTAGTTATATTTATTTTATACAAACTTCACATATAATAAAAATCAAAAAATTCAAAAGAAAAACAAAAACGAAATTTATGGATTTTAACTTTTGAGACAGGGTATAGTATAGTCTGGTAGTACCATGATTGGCAAAATATGTAAATTACTCTTATCTGATGACATGGCAAGATGTGATTGGATAATCCAGATTTCTAGGGCTGAGTTGGAATGTTGTTCATTGGTTAAGGGGCTATCACGTGAATCTAAGAAAAAGGGTGAAAAGAGGTGTAATATGTGTGGCAGATGGGTCTCATACGTTGCCCTATTTACAGTCATTGGCTTCTCACTACATAATCTCTTGTATTTTTTCTTTTTTATTTAATTCAATTTGAAAATTAATTATTTGATTAAAAAAATGTCAAATAATATATATATATATATATATATTATAAAATATTTGATAAAAATTCTTAAAAACCATTCTTTTAAACATGAAGTACTGTTTATTGATGCATATTATTTAAAATTCAAGATTACAAGTAAATTGTGCATAAATACAACTTATTAAAGATTCATATTTGAATTCGTGTAACTAACTACAGATAAACATAATCAAATAGAGGATAAACATCTCATTTTAAAATCTAAAATATAATTAGAATAATTATTAAGTTTTAACAAAATAAATAATTATTATCTTTATAAAAAATTATATTAATAAACGAAATATAAATTATTTCGTTATTGAACTTAAATTGAATTATAATTAAAAAAATTGAA